TTGCCAGTGATGCTTGGACATTTGTCAAAACTTCAGTCATCAGAACCAATATCTCGCTGTACCTGAAGGAAGCATTTAAAGAGAAATTTGGAGTACTGGCATCAATGAGTCAGAAATCTGCCATGGAATAAACTGATCTCAGCTGTTGCAATTTTCCTCATCGCCAAACGGTTGTCTTCTTCAGTAATGTGGCATATGGATGATGTAGGCTTGATTTTGATGAAATTGAACATTAGTGACAAAAACTGACCATAGTCTGTAATATTGGGGATTTAGAAGCAGTGGGGTTGCTAAAAACCATTAAGTCATTTATAATACTATGCATTTTGCTACTCAGTCTCTGAGTCTGAGAATTGTATATTCTCAAGGCTTCTTGTGATTCTCAAGGTTATGGTGCCTTTACCTTTCTCCATGCTGGTCCATTTGCAGTGATGGTGACATAAACAACAGATGACTGCAGCCTACTGGGAAGGGTCTGAAGGTGGTTTACCGGCCTCCAGAATAGGCTAGCAATCAGCTTTTTTTGTGGCCTTCACGGTACACCTGTTTTGGAAGCCACATAGACTTGGCTTCTAATGGTCGCTACCAAAAATGGGGATGAGTTGATTTTGCCTTTCCCTATAAAAAAAGTTGAGCTGACCAATAGCAGCAGCACAGGGTACTAATATTGGGAAAGGTAGTGGCTGTACAATTGCCATGGGATGTAAACATAGTATTTTTTATAACATGAGCATCCTGGATCTAGTTACTGAGAGTCACAGTGGAGTTTTGACAAACTATGTATGACAGATTAAAGTTATTTTGCAAATTGATTTCTTTTAAATATGAAATGTTTATTTCAACTAAAGGTAACTAAGATGGGAATGGACACTGGTAGAACTGGAAATTATTTCTGCATTTTTACATTTATCCTATTCCTTTATGAACCACGTAGAAAATGCCCTGGATTGTGGGAGTGCAGTTTACTCAATACCACACCCTGTTCACACCAGCTCTTGGCTCCCATTAGCCTCAGTGTACTAAGCAGCAGGGTGGCATTTTAGTTTTAAAAAATTAGAGATCTTGACTATTAAATTCTATGTAGTCAGGAATAAACTCATCTTTTAACACCTAGAGCTGAAAAGAACCTTAATTAGTCCCACCTTCTCATCTTATGGCTGATATCTGAGGCTCAGAAACATTAAGTTTCTTGTTCTCAATATCTCGGAGTTGAGAATCCTGGTGTCTTCAAGTTCACTGACCTTCCAATGGGATCATATCCCCTTCTAAGCTGCTGCAATTAATGGCGAGACTTGGGCTGGTTCCTTCCCCTCTCTGGGACTTAGTTTCCTCTTCTCTCCTAGAAAGTTGCTAGTTCTGAGATTCTATTATTCCACTGGCAATGCTGAGTGACCCAATCTTTGCTCATCAGTGTGACTCTGGAGTCAGAGAACCTGGATTCAAATGCTGCCTCACGGACTTACTCCCTGACCTAAATGGTCTTGGGCAAGTGACTTAACCTCCCTAGCTTTTAATTCCTTTAATTCTTGTAAAATTGAGGGGATTAGATGAGATGGTCTCTGAGGTGCCTTCTGGCTCTAGAATTTTGATCCTGTTATTTCAGCAAGATACTGGGTTAGTGTAGAAATAACAAAGAATAAGGCCTTGTTAAGTCCCACTGAGAAAAAAAAATGAGGAAAGTGTTCATGTAAGGTTTATGGTGTGGGAAGAGCATCGCTTTGAAAGAAGAGTTTACCCGTGTGGCTTCAGGCAAGTCACTTAATATCTCTGGGCCTCAGTCCCCTCGTTGCCTAAAAGAGATCAGGCCAGATCACAGGTTCCCAGACTTATTTGGCCGACCACTCCCTTCTGAAAAAATAAATCACTCAGCACCCCCCTGGAAATCTTTAAACCTTTGTAACTTTTTTTGTGAAATTTGAATTGTTTCAAAAAATATAAAATATTTTTTAAAAGAATGACGTGTCGGGGCAGCTAGGTGGCGCAGTGGATAGAGCTCCGGCCTTGGAGTCAGGAGGACCCGAGTCCAAATGTGGCCTCAGACACACAACACATGACACTTACTAGCTGTATGACCCTGGGCAAGTCATTTAACCCCAACTGCCTAGCAAAAAGCAAAAAAAAAAAAAAAAAAAAAAAGCAAGAAAAAAAAAAGAGATGAATCTTAATTTCATAATTCATTGTAAATTTGTGGAGTTTTTTCTTGCACTGAAATTTTGATGATGCAATATTGCATCATATAACCATATAGTATCATATTGTAAATAAGTTATTACACGCATACATTCCTGCTGATGCATGCTGGACTTCCTGATAATGCGCAACACACTTGCCTGCCAACACTTGCTTGTTAAGACCCGTCGGCAGACTTGACCACTAATTGGTTACAACTTGCATTTTGTGTGTTTAATTGGAAAACAATGTGATCACTATAACTTTAACTCTGTTACACAACAGATGAAACATGTATGAACAGTTTTTCAAAATTTTCTTCTCTTTCCTTATGCTTCCACAGACCCCTTACTTTCATTCAATACCCCCTCCCAAATGCACCAGAGGCTACTACCACCTTCCTGGATCATTCCAGCACCCCACCAGGGAGCAGCATCGCCCACTTAGAGAACCTCTGGACTAGATGATTTTTTAAAAGTCCTTTCAGATTTAAAGCCTGTGACCATATGATTACTTTCCCTGGGATACAGAAGGGAGGAAGGTGGGGGTACAGGGCCAGAGGTGAGAGTAGCTCCAAGTGATTTAGAGGATATTAAAAAGAAAAGAGAAAGAGAAATAGTATCACTGGATTAAGCTCTAGTAGATGGGATCCTAAAGCCCTATGAACACTTGTGGCAGGACAACTGTTATATCAGGACACAGGACTGAATATCTCTGGGATCCTTTAGCAATACAGAAATGAATGCTTAATTTAGCTGGGTGCTTGCTGATTGTGAGCCAAAGTGAGTTAGCACACCTTTCATATCCATTTACAGTCTAAGAGTTCAGTACCAACAATGCAGCCTCTTAGGACATTGATCAATTAAGCAGTTACTGAGTGCCTGCTATGTGCCAGATGCTGTGGATAGAAGCACAGAAATGAAACAGTCCCTTCTCTCAAAGAGCTTACATACTCTTAAGGGGAGATTACATGGGCACATCTAAGTTCTGGAAGAGGTACTTGCAGTTGGGAGATCAGGGAAGAACTCATGTAGGAGATATTATCTGAGTAATGCCTTGAAAGAAACCCTAGTGCTTCCAAGAGGTGAAGTGAAGTGTTTACTATGTGCCAGAGACTGTGCTAAGTGCTTTACAAATATGATCTCATTTGATCCACACAACAACCCTGGGAGTTAGGTGCTGTTATAAGCCCTATTTTATAGATCTGGAAACTGAGACAGAGGCAGAGTTATTTGTCCAGGGTCATACAGGAAGTGTCTGAGGCCGGATTTGAACCCATCTTACCTTGACTCTAGGGCCAGCACTTTATCCAATACGCCACCTTGCTGCCCCTATAGAATTCAGGAGGTCTGTGGACTTGGATGGGGAAAAAATTACATCATTATTTTCACCATTTGCTGAAATTTAGCATTTCCTTTAATTATCTAAAAAATATTATTCAGAGATGGAGTCCACAGGCTTTGCTAGCCTGCCAAAGGGTCATCCATGACATAAGGTGAAGAATCCCTGCTTGAGACTTTTCTATGTGTAAGAGGACGAGCAAGGGAAGAAAATGAAAATGGGCTAAATGCTCTAAAGACATGTAACAGGCAGGCAGACAGTGGACTGCGGAGCCTATCCTGACTCACTGCATTGGTGGGGATGGGATCTCTGAGCTTCCATTTCCTCATCTGCAAATGGAAGTAATTCATGTCTCACTTCTCTCCTCACAGGGTTAATATAAGGAAAGGGCTTTGATTAATCATTATGGGTGAAGTGTTGGTGAAATTACTTATAATAAGCTGTTACTATGTGCTACCAGTTTTTATGACAGAAAACCTGTGTTTGAACTCCAGCTTTGCCATTATCTGGATGATACAATTTGTGTGACCTCTGACAAATCTTGTAACCTAAAACTCGATTTTCTCATTTGTGAAATGAACACAGAGTTGTTGTGTGGGTTAAATGAGATGATGTAAAGTAAACCTGAGAGTGCTATTTATACAAAATAGAGAAGTCACATCATTATACTCCTCCATTAAAACTCTACTCTGATGTCTTTACTGTGGTGGTGGTAGTGGTGGAGGTGAACCCTAGGCTCCTGAAGTTTGTCAGTGAAGCACAGTCTCTTGCAGGTGCAGGCCTGGTGATGATTTGTGCACCAACCTTGCCAAAGTCACAGGGACTCACTTGCTGCAAGGTAAGCAGCAATTAAAGAACTTTACTAAGTTGAAGAACTGTGATCTGCATTAATGGAAAAGGACTCATAGCAAAGAAATGAAAACTCCAATAATAATAATAATAATAATAATAATATTAATAATAGCTGTTTTACTATATTAAGAAAACAAACCTCTTCCTATCCATTGGGATGAACGTAAGACATACCAGGCTGGTCTCAAATTATTACAGGAAAAATGACTGATGTGATTGTAGAAGACTGCCTTCTAAGAAGCATCAATTAAAAATTCTCTTTTTTCAGGGATGGTGAAGAGCTAGAGGGAAAATACCACACCAAGCACAGTGGCTCCCTTTAGTCTACAGCTACCACCAACTGCAGTTAGTGCTTTAAAAGGATGAGGTTTGTTTTCTCTTTCAGAATAAATAAAGCAGAGGAAAGTCTCTTGATATGGATTCTCTGTAAGGATTTGTGGAACAACAAAGACAAGAATCACACAGGATGACTGCAATCTGCATCAGTCAAGGTAATATGAAAAAAATGAAACCACAAATTCAATAATATGGTGAAGCAAAGCATATAAAATTTAAACTTTTCAAAATAAAATACTATTTTTGATGGAATGAAATTGATGGAGTAACATCCAAACTGTTCCCCAGATTTCAGACACTGAGACTGTTTAAAGAAGAATTTATTAATGAGTAAAACAATGTTACAATGAAGAAAGAAAAACACAGGACCCATCTTCTGAAGATTATAGCCACATATGCAACTACATCTCATACTGTAATACAAAGAATTAAAAGAACAAACTACAAAATTGGAAATTAAGTCATTGCATATGTGGAAAGAGAGAAATGGAAGGATCCATCATTAATTAAAACACATAGCGATGGTGAACTGTAATTACGATTGGCAATAAAACACAATTCAGCAAAAGTAAGTCAGCTTTCTAGTGTACATAGGACATACAAGGTTAGGATACAAGCTCAAAGCCATTAGTGCCATGCAGTCTGTTCTAAACGTTACTGTGTAGGTGTCTCTCTTATGCAGTGATTTGCTGTGACTTCTAGCCCCACCCTACATCTACCCATTTCAAACAACAGCTATCCAATATCTACCTGGTATTCCTTCCACTGCTAACCCTCCTTTTCTTTGCAATTCCACAATGCTAACATCAGCTCTCTTGTCCCTCTCTGAACCGGCCATCGTTGTATCTGAGACCAAATACTGCTTTACATTGATGAGGTGGCTATGTTGCATGACTGAATCAGTTCTATGGTTTGGGGATTTTTATACTGCATCAATGGTAAAGCATTTGATAATTTCCATTTTTGAAACTGTGAAGCAGGCTTGGGACAAGACGCTTTATTTCTAGTTATCAAGCAATATCATTATGTCATTCTACAAGGGGAATGAGTTATGTGGATCATCTTATGTAGGTAACTACATAGGGAAAAACTGTTTTTTGAGCTCTTGAGCAGAACATTCAAAAGTGAGCTCTGGAAGCAAGATGTCAAATTATGATCATTATAATTAGTTTAACTGTTTTCATAACCCAGAAATTTTCAAAGTTGTAATTTGCTATGTGAAGACAGGAACAAATCTGAAAATACCCTGAAATTTCACAAAAACTAACTCAAATAGTTAACCTTGCACTCTCTACAGTCTTTTATAAGAAAAAGAGTATTTCTGACATAATAAAACTGAAAAAAGTTGGTCTATTAAAAAAGGAATGTTCAGAATTGTAAAGGAGGTTTGAACTGCAAATTCACAGGAAATTCTAGCAAATACTCTCCTCCTTCCCCCAATGCTTCCCCCCCATAATATTTTAGGCACCCTGATGGATAAGATGCCAGGCATTACTAAATTCATGTTTGGGGCTGAAGCAGAAGACATAATCACATCAGTGAGCCATGTAGGATGGACACAGGTTTACATCCGCCAACTCTTCAAATGCCTTCTGTATAGTACGTCCAACCAACTCTTAAGTGTAATCTCTAGGTATGTCTTCTCCAACAGAATGTAAGCTATTCGAGAGTAGAGACTGTTTCAATTTTGGTTTTGTATCTACAGCACTTAGTAACAGTGCTTGGTATGTAACAGATATTAATAAATGCTTGGTGATGGACAGATTGATGGAGGTGTGAGTTGCCCATCTCTCTAACATGAACAGGTAGCTGTGGTTTCCAGAACATCTACTTCAAAGACTAACCTTTTTGCCTATCCCTTTAGAGGGCTGCTTAAGCTAGGTTTGTGGGATCAATTACTGTTTCTAATTCGCCAAGTCGAGGTTCTCCAAATATACCACGCAGCAGCAAACACCTTCAGCTCAGTCATGTGAGACAACACAGGGTTAAGCAGAAGCCTAGCAGTGAACAATGCAAGCTTACTTTACTTGAAACTTCTGTAGGAGGGGATGCAAGATGGGAGGGAGGTTGCCAAAGCCTTGTGTAGAGCACGATCTATAACCACAGCTAGCTTGCAGAAGCACAAAATCTCATTCTGTTCAGGAGTATATTCTTTCTGAAAACACAATAGCAAAGATTTTTAAATACACCTGCTGTGACTTAGGAGCACAGTATTAGAGAGCACAACTTCTGAGGGTTAGCATAGTTTGTGACTATGGCCTACATTGCTAAAAATTCTTGGGGGAGAGCTTTTCCTTTTAACACAGTGGCTCCAAGTCTTCTACATAAAGACTTTAAAGTTGTGTACCAGTTGGGAACAGATCTGAAGTTAGCTGCTAAGAACTTAGGGTTAGCACCTTTCTGCAAGTTAGTTGATTTGCTGTTAAAAGCTATGCCCTGGGAGCTTTGCCTAGGGTGGCGAGCTGGTTTCATTTCTGCATTCCGTCACAACATAAGACAAAACACTCAGTACAATCACACACGTCCTAGTGGTTAATGAAGTATCGGGGATCTTAAAACCTGACAGTGTTTCTGCCGCGCGCGGGGCTGTTAGGAGTCACTTTTCTTTTTACTTTTCTTCAGAAAGGAGGGAGTACGGAACTTCTTTTTCTTTTTGGAGGGGGACTTCCCCGGGGACTCATCACTCCCGGGATCTGCGGCCATTCCCTCCTCGGCAGTCGGTGTGGTGGCCTCTTCAGCAGGGGGAGATGGGGTTTCTGGATTTTCTGTAGCAGGTAATTCAGTCTGGCTTTGGATGTGAACTTCATCAGGTCGACTTTCCTCCTCCTCTTTCTCAAGTGGTGGGAAGCTAAGTGCTTCTGAAGGCTCATCAGGGGAGAGGTCTGGAAGGGTTTGCTTGAAGGTTGCAGCATCACTGTCATCTCTGTAAGTCTGGTCTTGCTGTGTGTCTAATGGATGTAGGAGTAAAACAAACTATTAAGTTATGAAGAGTGACTCCACTGGACTTTTAAAAGTGTCACTTCTAAGATGAGAAATGCTTTTAATATGCTTTTAATAACATTTTTACTGACATGATATTAAAATAATTTTTAAAAATTATATTCTATTTTATGGCTGAGTGTAACAGAATGTAAAAAACAGTTTCAATGAAAGGTTTTTTTTTTAACTGCCTGCCACTGGATAGTGTGCTGACAAAATGAGAATCAGCAGAGGCCTCTAAATCATTAAATCTACGTGAGTGTAAGGAAAAGGAGAGGAAGTTTTAAGCAATGACTATGGAATAAAGATACATGGCGTCAAATACCCATAAAGGCCTCTTACAATGGAAAGGCAGCATGGCCCGGTGCATAGCTGGCCTTGGAATCAGGAAGACTTAAGAGTCAAATCCAGTCTCAGGCACACACTGGCTGTGTGACCATAGGCAACTCACCTAGACTCTCAGGACCCCTAGGCAATCCTCTAAAACTATAAACTGGACAACAAATGACTATCTGTAATAGTTTAGGTAGTATCCTTTTTGAGAGTTCCCTCTACCAATGAAATCACAGGTCTGTTTAAAAAAAAAAAAATCACACTTTGCAGATTCCTGGTTATGAGTACTCCTAAAACTGAGTGCTACTCTAAGCCCGTAATATTTGGTCTCCCACTGGATGACCAGTCAAAGCAGCCTGAGTTTAGCTGTCCAACATCAACATCAAAGGCAAGAAAAGGCTTGAGTCTTATAAGAACTACTGCTAAGTGGAGTAGGAGGTAGAAGTGATTTTTTTTTAAATGGGAAAAAGAAGGAGTCAGTTTCTCTTATATATTTGAACAATTCCATATTATATGAACAAAAGAATATGTTTCAAAAAAAGGTAATTTGTTTAAATAAAAGCCTGTGTGTTTGATTCTCTTAGTGTAATCAAGCTAAAAACTCGCCACTTCTCATCTTGTACAGTAAGCCTGTGGAAAACAAGTTCTGGGGAATTTTTGTAAGAAACTATAAAGTTATGAACAACTGGCATATTAGTGAACACCAACCATTTAGCATTCAAAATCAAGCCAAAAGTTAGAATGGGTAAGTGATGAGTAGTTGGGAGTTAAGCCTTAAATAAGGATTAATCTGCAGTAGGCTTCAAAAAGCAGGAAAAAGACAGTATTGGTTAAAAGCTGCCTTAGGAGGTTCTAGTCCAACAAACCCTTTAGCACTCATTTTAGAAATACTTGGATTATAATGCAAAATTGCAATTGTCCCCTTAATTATTACACATATTATTAAATGCTTTCTGCCTGTTACAGCAGTGAAAGGGATTGCAGTGCAGACACCATACCCTTCCTAATCTTTAAGGACTAGGATTTATTTGACAGAGATGACGCGAGCTTGCAGCAATATTACTTTTCTAATAGGTGTGTGCTTGTTGATATTTGGACGAACTATCATTTTACCAAATGTCATAGTTCAAAAATAAAACCCTATGTAATTTATCTGTTAGTCCAGAAGGACTATTAATTCCAGTTTAAGTCAATAATTTAGAAAATATCAACTCACTGGGCACCAGAGCAACTAACTTTATTCATTCTTTCTTTTCTTTTTTTTTTAGCAACTAACTTTCAATGCTAGGTTAAGATAGAACAATACTGCCAATAAAATAAATGGTAGATGTCAAAGATTCCTGATTTTCTCTTTAGTTAAAATTTAGCAAAATATCCCCTTAAGAGTGGAAAGTTGAAGAACATGAGAACAATGAAAATTCTCTGATCTTCTGAAATTCGTTTGAGTACACAATCTGTCATGAATGCTCTGGTTTGCTTGGCAATACATACATGTGGGGAAATGTCTCAAGTATTCCTTTCAAGGGTCTGCATTCAACTGCACTGCACACATCAGATGTCACTCAATCACAGGTGACAAGAGATCTAGAATTCCAAGAAGGCAACCTTGTGAAGAAAATTAGCATCCTTCTCCAAGGGCAAAAAAAAGTGAGCCTTTTTGCTTTTTTCCAAAGGAAAAAAAAAGAAAACAGGAAACAATACTCCATAAAAAAACAAGGACACAGGAGAATGAAGCAAAGCACATAGGATTCCAGTTAAGAAGCAGAAACAGATTAGATTATGGAATGATACTTACTATGGTAACAGGTACTCTTTAGCATATCCATCTCCTGTTTGTAACGCAGCCACAAGAAGAGAAAAGCACAAGTAGAAAAATCTAGGCATTCAATCACAGCCATTGTGTTAAAGTAAAAGAATGGTGGATGCCATTCTTAGAGGGCAAAGAATGGGATGAAGAAGTGAACTTGAGACTTGTCAAACAGACAGGTGATATACCCCAATATATGAGGAGAAAAAGGACACAGACAAATTAGATTACACCCACTTAACAGACACAAGGCTAAAACAGAAGAGCTACAGCTTTTACAGCAGCCCTCAAAAAATGTGATGGACTAGTCTACTTTGAGTGATGCTACTAGAGCAAATCAAATTAAAAAACCCAGATGCCAAATTGGATGGATAGCATTTGTCCCCACAGGTGTAATCTAAATACAATAAAGTTGAAGAAATGTGCAATTAGTGGGCCGGATTGGCTATATTCAAAAGTTAGGGTGAGGGTGATTCAGGGAAGCTCGGCCTACTAGTTCACCACAACATCTAACTAAAGGAACTGGCTTCATCTGAAACCACCCAGAGCAGAACCAAAGGGAACAATAAGAGGTACCTGCAGTCTTGCAGTTGTGGTAACAGTCTTGGTGATAATGCACACTTCTTGATTATTGTTAATGGAACTGTTGCCACATCAGTAACATTTTTCTTCAGCCAAAACAAAATTCATTCTTCTTGATGCCACAAATACAGTCCAGTCTTTCATGCATCATACCACACCGATGCAGCTCCAGCAGACACGGTCCTCCCACCCACCCTTCTAACCCCAAATAACTTACCTTCCTCAAGTTGAACTGGTGTACTGGGTGGAGTGTGGGCATCAGCACGGTTCAGAGGGCTCCCTTCTTTTTGTTGTTGTGTCACTTCCACATTTTCTATACAGGTATGGAAATTAGGATCAAATTAGATGAGAATATTATTAGAACTTTAGAAGAGATGTTTCAACATCACTTTAGCAGGAATTTTTTTTTCTCAATTTGCATTCCTATCCATTGCCATGCATTTCTAAGCAAGCAAAAGCAGCAGTACATACAAGAGGAGCAACCAAAACCTTCAGCTGTGCTACTCTGTGATCTAGATTTTATAAAGAATATTTATCCAGACATCCTGCATTGAAAAATATTAGTTTCCTTCAACTCTTCTTTTTTTTAATGATAATTTTTATTTATTTTTTTTGTTTCCAACATTTACTTCCACAAGATTTTGAGTTCCAAATTTTCACGTCTCGCCCCTCCCCCCACCCCAAGATGACATGCATTCTGAATACCCCTTCCCCTAGTCTGCCTTCCCTTCTATCTCTCCCCCACTTCTCTTATCTCCTTCCCCTTCAATTTTCCTATAGGGCAGGATGGATTTCTGTACCCCATTTCCTGTATTTCTTATTTCCCAGTTGCATGTGAAAACATTTTTTTTAAACATGTTTTTACAACTTTGGGTTCCAAATTTTCTCCCTTCCTCCCTCCCCACCCACCCTTATTGATAAGGCAAGCAACTAAATATAGATTATATATGTGCAGTTATGCAAAACACTTCCACAGTAGACATGCTGTGAAAAACTAACTCTATATTTCCCTTAATCCTATCCTGTCCCCCCATTTATTCAATTCTTTCTTTTGACCCTATCCCTCCTCAGAAGTATTTGCTTCTGATTACTCCCTTTCCCAATCTGCCCTCCTCTCTATCATTCCCCTACTCTCTTGTCCCCCTTTCCCCCTATTTTCCTGTAGGGTAAGACAGATTTCCACACCCAATTGAGTGTATATTCAACTTCTTTTCTTATTCCAAAAAAGAGGCATTGTTTCAAATTTCATTTCCCTTGCCTTTAGAGATGTAATCCAATGTCCATTAAGGAGATAACAGAAGATAAAGAACAAGCTGAAATATCCTACCTCATGTATTCTTCCAGATGAACCAATTCGTTACCCTTCTCAGAAAACATGGGCTTATAAAGACTAACCTTCTCCACTTCAGATAGAAATTGTAAAGTTCCATGACTACTATGTGTGTCTAATTTACTTGGTAGGTAGGTTTATAAAGTGTTTGCCTCAAAACAGCCCTATCAAATACATAGTTCAAGTTTCATTATGGCCATTTTATAGATAAGTCTATAAACTGAGGCTTAAAAAAGTTAAGTGACTTACCCATAGTTAGTAAGTGGTAGAACCAGTACTTGAACTTGGGTCTCCCTTCCCCCTATATCAAATTTTGGTTTTTACTTCTTTGTGCTGGTTTACAATCCACATATAAGCTTCTCTCTGTGATCAATCTTACATAACTCTATTAGCTGCTCTGTCTGCCTCCGGCCCCAATGCTGCCTAACTAAAAAGGACAAAGAGGACTCCTGGCCACAGGGAAAAAATAGGATGTTGACAGACCAAGTATCTGGGAAAATTCAAACTTCTTTGTTTGGAAAGAAATAATAACTAAAAACCTTTTGAAAAAAGTTTGAGATTTGTTGTTCATTTGAATAGCTTAGCAGCACTGGGTATTTCTGTGAGAGATATTGGAGAAGGGATTCATGGATGACTTAGACAAGGGGGTTGGGCTGGTATACCCTTCCAAATCAATGCCTATGTAATCACCGGATTCTCATTAACTTAATGCAGTTTCCATCTAGGTATATTAAGCTGCTGAACTGCAACTTTATCAAGTCTCAATTCTCATCTGCTATCTACACATGGTAGATGCTCAATAAATAGACTATGAATTATTTTCTGAATGACATCAATTTGCTGTCTAGGAGAGGTAAGAGTTTTCAAAGAACTAAATATAATTACAAGAAAACTCTGTTAGGATGGAGGAAATATATATCATCATTCATTTCTCACTGCAAAACACTATATTATGAGAAAATGGGGTGTAAGTTTACATTTGATAGGAATTTTGCTTGCTTTGAACTAACATGCAAATCATAGGATTTTACTGACAAAAAGGTATATTAGACTAACATGGAATGCAGTGATGGGTACAGATTCCAATAAGATTTAGGATTTTTGTTTTTAACAGTAGCAGTTATATAATAAAGTGGTGAAGGTTAGTCTAAAATAGGAACAAAAAAAATTAAAGCTATATAAAAGATTTCCTCAGGAGTAGAAAGCCATTCCCAGATAATACCCCTCAACCCAAAATTTCCACCAATCAAAGAATTTGATCATTAACCCCACAGGTAATAAATCAAGCCAGTCTGAAGACTTCTATAGACAGCAGAGACACGTGGAGGTTCCAGGCAGGGAGATTAAGGGAGTGGTCTTCCCAACTCAGTACCTGAACTTTCAGTAAAAAGATCGGGGTTGGAGTTTAATGCTTTGATGACTGAAATGTGAAATTCCTTGTGGGAGGACCGCAGTTCCTCAGACTCTTTCAGGTGAAGGCAGGGGATTATCTGCTGCACAGCTGAACAAGAAATCCATGCAGCAGTGAACTCAGTGGTTACAGAAAGATTGAGACACACTTGGCACCTTCACGGATGTGAATGAGTTGTGCTTGTTTGTTTCCTAATCCTTGAAGTTCTTCTGATTTGCTTTTCCAGTCTGGAGAGTTCTTTTAGTTATTTGAAATAAATTGTTCCTCACAATTCAATTCTGACTCTTAGTCTTAGTGTGGCACTATTTTTATGATAGTGCCCACAAACTAAGGTAATATTAGAATCCTACATAAAATCTATAATTCCAAGGCACTAGAACACCATCAACAACTACTCAAAAGAGTAGCAGAAGCTAATAATGTGGACTTATTAATTCAGATTCCAAGGACTCGAAATTTATTATAAACTCCACCAGGATCCTGACCAAATTTATTTTTCAAAAGATATGCTAAGTAATAGCACAAAAAAGATCAGAGAGAATATTAAGCTCATTTAGAAGATTAAATTGTTCTCAGAGTCATCAGAAACATTCCCTTGGATGCTGTGACTCAGCAGAAGCATAGTGCAGAACAGAAACAGCACCAGATGTGGATGAGAAACTGGGTTTGGGGGTGGGGGTTGGGGAACAGTTTGTCCAAGGTTTAGAACATGACTGGTGGCAGAGTTGAACAGGAGTCTAGGCCTTCTTACTGCTAGTCCACTGCTCTTTCCTTAGAGTTACAGTCCTACGTGAAAGTACTAAGAGCTATCTATAATGTTCTGACTGATGTTCTCCCCAGTTATGGCTCAACTAATAATTTATGGTTGGACTGTTCCAATCATCTGACAAAGTCGTGAAGAACCGAAGTTTGGCTGACACAATAAATGCTGTGATTGTTAAACCCTCTGCCAGGTGGGACAGCTTCAGAAAAACTCAATGGCTGTTTCAGAGTGCTCCAGAGAGCCCTTACCTCAGAACTGCAGAAAACATCCCAAAGCACCGGCCTATCCTATCTCTTCTCTCTCTCCAACCCATTCTCCCATTTGCCCACTTTTTATCCCCCCTTTCACCCTCTCTTTTGCCTCTGCTTCAGAGTGGGCCATGGTGCCTGAAGGCATTGCTTAGTTATGATGGCAGCATTAAGCCCTTTAACAAGATTACCAAAAATTATCAGCAAAACTTATACTACAAAAAACTAAAAGAAAAAAAAGAACAACAAAAAAGGTAAATTCCAGATTTCTTCTGGAAACTTCCAAATAAACTTTTTTTCTTTACAAAAAAAATGCAATTGCTTTCACTGTTATCTTTGACTAGGAATGACATCCCCCTCTTTCTGTACTCACTGTATCATGTTCTGACTTGTAGTTATTTGTGTACATATCTTATCTCTCCTACTAGGCTGCACACTCCACGAGGACAGGAATCACATTCTTTTGTGTTTTGTATCCTCCCACCTCACACACAGTCACCCAGCATAGGGCCTTAGTAATCATTTAGCTGAATTTTACAAGGAAGTGCTCGAACCTTCTGGACCCTTCTGTTTCCGTTCCACTTCTCTGCGATACTCCTCCAGCTCTCGGTCAGTGAGCTTGTTGAAGGGATTTGGTCCTGCCGTGCTCACTATGACTCGTGGTTGGTACTCCTTTTCAATAATAGCCTTTGAAGCAGTCACCAGTTCCCCCTGATAAAATGCAACAACAAAATGTCTGCTATAAAGCCAAAATGTACTTAGAAGCTACTTAACCTTGACAATGGGTCAGGAAATAGGGGGGAAAAAATGAAATTCTCAGATTAATCAAAATTAATCCTAGAAGTGCTGCATTTGTTTATTCTTAGGGTCAGCAGCATTCTCAGTGTTGAAAACTTTAGACATTGTTCCACTGGCACAAAATAAATTTAACTGTAAAAAACTCAGGTATCAGAAGCAAGAAGCTATGAAGAATGCAAAACACCAAATCAGTTTGTGTTGTTTTTAATGGAAACAAATTCAAGTTTCCAAATTTAGTCATAATATAAAAAATAGATACATTACCTTCTTCAGACCATGAAAAGTATCATGAATTCTTATCTTTAATTAGAATAAAATATGCTCTGAGATGTTTTATACTCAGAAGAGCAAAGATAAATTCTGCTTTTCCCTATGCACTTAGACAGTTTTAGCCTATCTGCTGATTCCTCCCAAAAATGCAGAGAAAAGGAAAATGTAAATGCCAGGTATATGCTTTAACTTGGAGACTCACCTTGGGAATTTTAAAGATGAAAGTACAATTCCCTCCAAATGCTAAAATAATCTTTCTGTTATCAATTTCAGAGAGAAATCAGTGGCAAGGTAAATAGAAAATGGGACTGTCTATAACTCTTATAATTAGTGTGAATGACAGGTCAATGTTGGTGAACGCCTCTTTTGGGAGAGCCACAGTCCCAGGAGTACTGAATTATCAGGGAACTCCACATTGCTTTGATGGACCATGACACTTCCCTTCAGCCCATGTGGTTGGGGCCAGGGCTTACTAAATATTTGTTGTATGTGAATCTTGCTAAAAATCCAAAGCAGAACTGAAATAGGGAAATCAAAGTAATTTTGGGTTCTAGTTCTAAGAGAACAATCACATCTAGGAAACTACATGTAAAGGTCAATAATATAGATTGGATCTGCTTAATGCATTTTAATAGATAATGGTGCCAATTAGATTATGGTATAAGAGAAAGAACATAGGTCTTGCATTCAAAAGACCTAAGTGGTTCTGACATTGTCTAGTCATGTGACCCTGGACAAGTACTTTTACTGCTTCTATGCTTTCATTTTCTCACCTGTAAAATGGTGATTATACTTATACTGTCTGCCTATAGGGCTGATGTGAACTAAATACTTTATAAACCTTAAAGAGCTATATGGATGTGAGCTATCATTATTATTATTATTGTTCCAAACATGACACAGGGAAGCTGTTTCTGTTGCCAGCTAGACATCTTAGCAAAATTGAATTGGAAGGGCCAGTGAACACAAAATTTCAAGCCAGGTGAGATCAAGGAAAGGAGATCTATTTTTCCCATTGTCCATGGGCTCTCCCAGACAACCTCTGATTGGACCAAATGAATTTTTCTGAAAAGAAGGTTAAAGAATAGAAAGAAAAAGGGCGAGTCTCTTATCATAGGAGTAGTCTCACTATACTCTGCTATGGTTGAAGCTTATTTGGATTATTATGCTCAGTGCCCGGCACCATATTTTAAGGAGGATATTAACAAGCTGGAGAGTATCCATTAGGTGGTAACTAGAATGGTTGAAGGTATTAAGATTATGTCATACAAAGACTGGCATTGGGAATAGCCTGAAGACTGAAAGACTTGGCCAAAGGAAAGGGGGGGGGGGGCAACAGCCTGAAATGATATATGTCTTCAAGTATTTAAAGGACTGTCATGGGGAAGAAGGATTAGAATTGTTCTCGTTGGCCCCAAAAGGACAAACTAAGAATAATGGATAAAAGGAAAAACTTTCTAACAATTACAACTATCTAAAAGATGAATTAGTTGGTAACCTTGAGAAGATGCTGGGTTTTCCCTACTCTAAGTCTTAAAGCAAATGCTGGATGACTGTTGGGAATGCTGTATAGGAATTCTTTTTCAGATATGGGGTGGACTAGATCACTTCTGAGGGCCTTTAAGATTTAGATTCCAGGATTCCATTTGAAGGCTGAGATGTGAGAAGAGAAAGGGCATATGAAGTAAATAACTGGCAATGTTAATGGTGGCTAAGAAAAGGATTTAGTTTTCTAGAACACAATTTCAGATGACAGAAAAATTGGTTCTTGGTCAATCTATATGTTTCCTTAAGATTCACAGATTACCAGACTTTCAAGGGACCACAGAATCCATATTATTCATCCATGCAACATAACCAATAAGTGGTCATCCAGTTTTCAGTGGAAAGAACCTATTTGGCCAGAGACTGGCTGATCTGATTAAGAGGATTTTAAATTGAAAATGGAGGGAGGATACAAAATGTAAAATTAAATATCACGGAAGAATCAAATATATTATAGAAAGAACACTGGAGAAAGTTCCTAATCAATTCCCAGGAAGAAATAACTGGGGAAAAAGGGTTGAGTACATTTAGTTATGGATGTCTACAGGTCAAGGCACTATGGATCTCAAAATGAATCAACTTAAAATTTTAAACTGAAAGATGGAAGTAGCAGAGCTGAGAATTTCAAACCAGGCCCTTGGATTCTTTCCACTATAATATACTTTGGAGATGATCTGATATCCCAGCAACCTTCTAAAATTCCACTAGTGTAATTCAAGAATCAGAGTTATGTCTCCCATGATCAGTGGTTCTTTCTCCTGGACACAGAGGCTGGTCCCCCAGTAGGTAAAACAAATAAATAGTATAAATATTATTTTTCATAAATATATTATCCATAAAGGGGAAGAAAGAGAATATGTCTTGAGAAATAATAGGTCTCTCCTTCATATGAGTCTTCCATGAAAGGTTGGATGGCTATTTGTCAGGAATGTTGTACAGTCATTTTTATTTAGAAATGGGTTGGACTAGCTGGCCATTGAAAGTCCCTTCCAACTCCGTAAAGGTAAAATATATTTGTATCACAGAGATTTGGCTGGACAGGATTCATTACTAGGGCACAGCAATGAATATATATAGAGACAGCTCCCACTTTATCTAAGTGGACTGTTCTGCAAACCTCTATATAAAGCAATTTTAAGGAAAGCAGATTTGCCCATGGTTGTGGGGAAAGGCGAGAGGGAAACAGGAAGGGGACCCTGAGTTGTGGAGGAAGGAGGCTGACATATAGTTCTAAGACATGTGGGGTCGGAGACAGAGGAGCTAGAGCAGGAGGAGGAACATATGGGAGCCAGGGCCAGCCACATAGAGACCTGGCTGGAACTGAGAGGAAGAACATGTAGGGGCTGGGGACAGACATATGGGATCATAGAGTAGACAGAGAACACAGACACATTGGGGTAGACATGCAGGCAGGTGGGCAGAGTGGAGCAAAGGTACCCTCTCTCATCGCCAGAGGTCTTAAGCCAAGGCCATGATTTGCTAGTGGCAATGGCAGCAGTCTCTGTGAATGTGTTCTGCTTTCACTTGGGGTTTTTTTTTTTTGTTTGTTTTGTTTTGTTTTGGTGGTGGTGGGGTAGAAGGAGGTTGCAAAGCACCAAGCTAAGGGAAAGGAGTGGAGAAAGAGAAAGAACAGTGTTGTACAGTAAAGTTAATATGGATGTTTTCTGGAATGTGGATTTCTTTCAGAATCTTTACATAAAGTCAAATTTGTGTAATGCAAATTTAATGTAAAGCCAAGAACTGTCTGTACTTTAGTTCAATAATAATAATGAAAACTTATATTTTATATAACCTTTGTCAGAGCTATGACATACTTTACACACATTATCTCATTTGACTCTGATAACAATCCTATGAGGCAGGCAGTACAAGTATTACTGGTATCATTTTATAAGTGAGGAAACTAAGGTCCAGGGGGGTAAATAGGAACTCTTTCATTTCTGTCTTTTATCCCTAGCCTGGCACAGAGTCAGCGCTTAAGAAATGTTTTTTAATTAAGTGACTTGTCCAAGATCATACATCCAGTAAATCATAGAACTAGAATTCAGGGATGGGAGATAGTCTATGGGAAGGCAGAGATGGAAATGAAAATGCAAAGTCATGAAACAACTATTAGTTCAGTTTGGCTGGAACAGAATGAGTGTGAAAGATATGGGCTGGTCAGATTATGGAGAGCTTTAAATACCAGGCTGAGGAGTTTATTCTTATATATTAGTTACTTATGGTGATTCTGGTGGGCACAAGTAATATTGATGTAAGGAACCTAGAAAGCACCACTAAAGATTACAAAGTCTCAGGAAAGAAAGACCTTGGTGAAAAAGTAGTATTTTAGCACTGCTGCCTATCAAAGGCAAGGAATTCAGAAGAGGAAGATAGATCTGGGAAGCACATGGGGTGGACAGGATGTTGACTGAGAATGGGATCTGAATTTCTAAATAAGTGAATGACAGACTATTGACTAGGGATAGAGTACATGTAACATGGATTAGTAAGAATATATCTGCCTGGATTTTTGCAAATATAATCAAAAGAGCTTTAAATTGAAAAAGGCAACAGAAAGAAAAGTATATGCATATACATCAAGTTAGATACAACAGAATAACTAATAAAGTAGGAAGATTAGCAGTGGAGAGGAGTCTACAGGAGACCAAATCCAAGAAAGGATTCAGTAAATAAAACTCAAGGCCTCAGGCATCTATACACAAACACAGATGGTATTGCTAATAAGCAGTAAGTCATCATAGTGCAATGGAAAAGAATGACAGTTTTGAGTCAGGGGACCTAGGTTTGAACCTTGGCTCTGTCACTATTGCGTAACCTTAGACAAATCACTTAATCTCTCTGGGTCTCAGTTCCTCATTGGTAACATGAAGGGGGGTTGGACCAGATGATCTCTAATGTCCCACATCTCTCCTCCCTTTTGTGGCTAAACTCCTTGAAGAGGTCATCTATAATCAGTGTCTCCACTTCCTTTCCTCTCACTCTCTTTTTAACTCTCTGCTTCCTGGCTTCTGACCTCATCATTCAACTGAACTGTCCTCCAAAGTTAGCAATGATCTCTTAATTGCCAAAGTGAACGGCCTTTTAAAATACTCTTC